TACATATATATATATATATATATACATATATTATTTAGAGATTTTAGGCATTTATACAATAATAACTACTCTTATATTTTTTCCCAAGGAAGTTAATTGATATTGTATAATACAATTGATATATAATAATACCATCTATCAAAATTTTTTAAGAAGCAACACGTTTGAACTAATTTATTGACCGTTGTGTTCATTAATAATATTTTGTGTACCTGCACTTTTTCGTAAAACCAATTTCCTTCTGATTCAGAAAAACATGCTCCAATAAAAACTCCAGTTTTTGTTCCACGTAAATCTTTCGGATTTACTCCTGCATCGACAATAGCTTCGTAGGTATGTTCTAGTAACATCCTACCCATAGGATCTATCACAGCAGCTTCGTTAAAAGAAACATTAAAATATTCTGCATCGAATTTCTCCAAATTATTAATTTTTCCTGTGCGATGGGGTATTTCTGGGTAAACTATAATTATGTCAATAAATAACAAATTTGGATATTTAGAAATAAAATTACATATAATTATAATATAATTTTATAAAATATATTATACGATTTTCTCGCATTATATACATAAAATAGGATAGAATTAAATGTTATTACCGTGATTCCATCGTCGGTCATCATTAGATCCAAGATCTACCTTGTTATACAGATTCTGCTGAAGATGTTTTATGTTATCAGATTCAGGAAATCTACCAGCGATACCAGAAATAACGATTTCATCTCCAGGTTCAATGTCGTGAAGAATATTTCTTTTACAGTCCATTTTTAAACACTTTTAATCAAAATAATAAAGATTTGAATTTTAGAGAAATATATAATGTGTGGACAGAAAATCTCTTGACAATTATTAACAATGATACAAAATAATATTTATCTTATTTTATATTATTTTATTTTGTTTTATATTTTATTTTATATTATTTTATTTTATAATATTTTATTTATTGTGTTGTATATTTTTCTTCAAATTGTAGGAAATTATTTATTATACACATTATATTATTTCCGATTTAGATTTTTCAAATTATTTATGATTTTACGATTAATTATTGTTGATGTCTCGTCACACTATGAATTGCGTGGATTTTGGACTTATTTATATACAAGTGATCTGTATGGTAAATATTTTATCATTATGAAATACTATAGAAACTTATTATTTATAAGCATTGAAGTAAATAATGAATAACAGCAAAATTATTTATATACTTCTCATATAGCAAATGTAATAATTTACGATTACTTGCAATCATTTAAATGAAAATGTGAATTCTTATTTTGCAACAATGCTGAGATGCATGCTATGTATATGCATGATATGTAAATTTAAAAAAAAACAATTTTATAATATCTATCTGTGATATAAAATCAACATTATTATAATTTTTAATGAAAGAGTACTTTAATTATACAACCGACGAACTTCTATTATTAAAACAACGATGCATTATTTATATGTACATATTAATAATGTACATATTATTAATATAAACATGTGAATAATATATACAATTTAACAAACTTTATATGCAATCTTAATGTAGTCAAAAAACTTCTCTCCTGTATCATATTAACCCTTTCGATTACTGACTAAAATTAACGATTGCGTATTGATTGCAGTTGACTTTAAATATATATATATATATATATATATATATATATATATATATATACATACATATATAAATCTTACTCCAATTTTATATTTAAACTCTTAAAAATGATGGGTATAATCGATTATTTACGTAATTTATTATCAAAATTTATCGGTTTTTTTATAAAATTAGTTGGCTATCTCAAAATGCATTGCTTTAACTAATTTATTTATGTGTGCCATTATATAAATGTAAAATTCAGAATTAAATTAATATGTATAAATTATTTTTATTAAGTAATCACTTTAGTAATATACATATAACAGAAAATGAAAATCAGAAATTGCCAAAATGCATTAATGGAAGTAATGTAAATTCAATTGCACGATCTCGTATAATCGACAAAAAATCAAGGCTATGAATAAATTTTAATTTTTCTTACATACGTAATCTCTTAAGTTTATAATTAATGGCAGATCTGTCACACATTTTATATTCTGCATGCTATCAGAAAAGCTTATATTTCATAAATATTAATATTTATATATAATATTTATAATACTTAGGTTTAAGTATATTTTACTGCCAATATAATATTTTGTCTAAAATTATTGTTTCAAATAATATACAAAAACTATTTTTAATATTTTTTCCATTTTTTTACATCTTATATATTTTATTTTATTTTATTTTCAATGCATCCCGCAAATATTCAATCACATGATTTTATATTATATTACATTATGATTTTCAACATTATCCTATAGAACTAGTAATAAAAAAAATCTTCTCTATAATCACTAAAAATTTTCTAAACTAAATTTAGATTTGGGTAATACTAACATTATTCATGTCATGAGATTGAAAATTGAGTTCAGCTCTGCACACAAATCGCGGTGAAACAATGTTGACACGTGACGAGTAATTTTATTATTTGATAGTATATTATTTCTCATTGTTTCCACCAAACTTGACACGCGACTTGATCCTTCAAATATATACTGTAATGAAAAATTTATTTCGTCTTAAATAAGAATCATTGCGATTTGTGTATATCTACAAAATTGAGAAGTTTATAAATAATGAGTTATCGTTTAAAAAGAATAAAAAATCTTTTATTTTTCCAATCTTAATAAATTTCTAAAATAAAAATTTCTAATTAAAAAAACTCATTTATTATGATTTGCTTGCACAACTGCAATAAAGTTTATTATCGACCGTGTGCATTTTCTCTTTTTAGTTTTGATTTTAATTTTTTTTCATAAAATTTGTCCGGAATCTCTTTTAGTTTTCCATTATTCAACATACAGCGATTAAACATCAAGATATCATTTTAAGCAAAAAACTCATTTCCATGAGCTCTCTTCAAAGCGTATTGTCCGACAAAATGCTACAAGCCGTTACGTTGATTAGACTGAACTTCTCTCGGTGAAGTATAGGCCGCTATAAAATAGCATGCTTTCTGTCTCAAAAAATAAACACGTTTTATAATAATTTTTTTCTGTTATATCGACAAATTATCTCTCAAGTAATTTGTTTACTACGATTTATCACTTTTTTACGCAAATCTTTTCAACCTTCAATTATTACAATTACTTTATTCGAATAAATACTATTATTTGTAACTTTCTTAATGACCGTAAATTCTTTTTTTTTAGATGTAAAATATAATAGTGTTATTAGAGAGTCTTCTATAAATAAATTGTTGCGAAAGGAGATAAGCATGATATTTATGGTATTTATGAATTATGTATGATTTTCATCAAAAGGACCACGAGTGATCAAATGAAGCAGTATTTATAATACAAAACCGCAAATATTTGTTAAACCATTGGAAAAATCTCGAGCATTACATAGTTCATTTAATTAAATAAAATAACAATTTAAATTATTATAGTAAATTGCTTAATTTTATATAGGTTTTTGTTCATTTATAGAGATCTATTTTATGAAGATATCATACTCTGCTATTGATCAATTCGAAATGGCATAAATTCTTGAGATATTAGAGTTTTACAAAGATTTTAGAAAGATTGAAATCTGAACGATGATCCTAAAAAATGCGGACAACATGCATGCAATATATTGTATACTAACATTGTATCAAGTAATATCGCTCTGTTATATTGATTTGACTATAGAATATTTTACATGAATGAGCAATAAAAATATCAGAATCAAATAGATTACACAGAATTATATATTAGATGCTATATGAATGGAAGAAAGTAGCATAAAATAATAATGCATAAGTATGAAACTATATAATGCATAAATAAATTATAAATAATGCATAAATATAAAATTACCAAAAAAGTTAGTCATTGATAATTATTTTTACTCAATCTCGTTTTATTTACCAAAGATCTTTATGCGCAGCTGATATATTGAAGTATAATTTTTCTTTTATTTCTAATGATTATTTTTAGTGATGCTGTACGCATATCTTGCATCAATCAATATAAAAATAATGTATTATGTTTAACATGTATTTTTTATCTATATATAATATAGTAACGTTGATAATATTAATAATTACAGTAATTATTAATCTTAATAATTAGAGACTTGGCTCAAATGATCAAAAAATCAAAAAGAAAATGGAGCTCAGTAGTTGGAGCGCAGAGAAGCAACAACACTTCTTTCTTTTTTCAATATTAATTTATTAAAAACGTATTATAATAACAAAATTGTTGCTTCTCTGCGCTCCAACTGCGCGTTGGCTCTTATGCCATTTTCTTTTTGATTTTTTAATTATTAATCGTTTAATTATTGTATTTGACAAATTTAAAATAAAATATTCTATGTATTTTTGTACAATCTTCTTAAATAACAAAAATAATATTGTCTACTTAAAAAAAATTTAGTTTTGTATGATTTTACAGCAATAATATATAATAAAGTTCCAAAAAATTAGTTTCAATGGATATTATAAGCCTTTAAAAATTCATAATATAAATTGATAGCATTACATTAAGAAAAATACATAATATTCTATTAATTTTGAAAAACATAAAACTTTATTTTATCAGTATAATTTTTAATTAAATATTATAATTTCTCTTTAACTTTCGTGTTTCTTTTCGCTATATACATATATAAAATTAAATAAGTGTATTTAAATATTTTAAAATTTTTTAAAATGTGTAATACATAACTAAGCATGTTTAATTAAAAATTAAATAAAATAATTACATATTGCTACCATATTTTATATGTATAATTATATAAACAATGTTAACATACAATGATGTTATCAACTTTTAATTGAACGAGTAAAATTAGCCATTTTCATATTACATAATGTTGTAAAAACACTTATTTAATTTTACAAGTATAATATGATATGAAGTATGATATATTTATCACAAATATAGAAAAAATATTTAATATGGGTTTAAATATACTAGTTTTATGATCTGGTACGAATATCTTGCATATGTGTAATTTTATCGTTATCTACTATACGTAGCTTTAGTTTTTTGTCCGTTTCAATATATTCTCCATTAATTACAGCAATGACTTTATCATTGTTCATCATTGTAATGTGATTACCTTCGATATAAAACACTTCAACATTTCCCTCAGTAATCTGAAAATTAATTAACTATAAAAGTACTGTGCTATGAGTAAATCTCTTATAATAATCATATAAATAATACCTTATGTAAACCATAATCTTCTTGCAAATAAGGCAACACTGATATTGTAGGTTTTAAAAGTATTATAGGTGATTTAATTTTTGATAATTGAGTCACATCATATTTATGAACAGCAATTACACGCTCATAAATTGTTGTACACAAATATTTATGATTATCAACTGAGAGACGTTTATAAGTTGAAGGGACATGAGTTAAGAAAGTATCTAATTTTTCGTTCCAATTGGTGCATTTGTTTAACTCCAAAAGGAGCTGTAAAGATTAAATTACTTGAGATTTATAAAAAGAATCAAATATAATAATATTAATATGAATAATACCTTTCCACTAAGTGTTGGCTGTATAACATCCATTATACTTAAAAGAACATTATTCTCAAGATCGAAACTCGTAGTAAAAGATAAGAATTGATTTGCTAATGCTTTCATTTGCTCTGGTGCCCCATCGATGAGAATTAATCGACCTTGAATATTCATATCTTCTAATTTTCGCATCAACTCAATTGCAATCAACGATCCCATCGAATAACCCACTATTGTAAAATCTCGATTCAATTCTTTTTTATTTAACAGATGCTACGAATATATAAAAAAATTGCAAAATATTAATAATTATCTTTCTACATATTATATTAAATATTAAAATACTCTAATTATTCTTATATAGATCAAACATTCGTACTTGTAATAAGCAATGAGCAATCTCGTTTATTGAAGTGCAGCCTATACCAATGTTATGCGCTCCATGTTGTAAGCACATTGCTGGAGCTTCGATTTGTTGAACCAGAGAATCAAAAATACTTCCGCAGCCTTCCATTCCTGGCAATAGAAATATTTTGCTTCTCGCATTGTTTCTTTTTGTCGGAAGGTCTATACAGATGTCGGGAATCACATCATTGTTGCCTATCAACCGAACTAACAGTTTAATACCAGTTAGCTCCTTCTCATCTCGATCGATTTTATCCTTCGATGTATCTTTGTCAAACATCTCTATAAGTTTAGCAAAATTGAGATAACGAATATCTTGCGCTGTAAGAAAAACATCGAATTCCCGTTCCAAAGTTTGTTTAATTTCCACAGCCATCATCGAGTCCATGCCGAGTTCCGGTAAAGGTGTATGACGAGCCACATTATTTAAGTCCTTCAAACCTACATTAACATATTAAATTTTCGTTATTATATTAATTCGCTTTATTAATTAATTGATTAACTTTTAATCTTTATAATTCTTACCCATAATATTAGCCACAGTTTCAACAATATTACTTGCACCAAAAGCATCCGAACGCTTCTCAGCTACAACCATACTCGCTACTACCGGATGTTCTTGTAACAGAAATTCCTCCAATTTTTCGATACAGGAACTTATCTTTTGTTGCAAAGTACCGCCAATAACCATTTCCTTGTCATCGTCTTGCATATCGGCCACCAGACCGACATCGCCTACTGCACCCCATTGAATAGCTAATCCATGTAGACCTTCTTGTACTCTTTTCTCGCAAATTCTTTCCATAATGGAATTCGCCATACCATAATTGGTCTGCCCAGCATTTCCTCTGCCACAGGAAACTGAAGAAAAGACAACAAAGTGCCGCAACTGAGGACATATTTTTCTAGACAATTGATCTAAATTCTTCGTCGTCCAAGCTTTTGCTCTAAACGGTTCCTGAAATGTCTCTATAGTGTGATTTTGGCAAATTTTATCATTCAATACCACAGCAAGATTGAATATAGCGTCCACTGGCGCTAATTTCTCCGCTGTTCTCAATACATGTTCACAACCATCAACATTCGATGCGTCTATATCCGATATTATCAACACCTTAACTCCGTAAGATTTCCACAATTCGATTTTCATTTGCTGATATCCGTTCTTTATTCCTTTGCGCGAGACCAGCACAAGATTCTCGGCACCTCGAATGACCAACCAATCGGCTAATTCTAAACCGAAACCACCTAAGCCACCGAAAATAATGTACGTCTTGTTCGCCATACAAAAATAACGCGGAAGTGCCGGAATGGGTGCATCTATAGATTCATCTTCCTTATGTATTTTAATAATTATCTGAAAAAAATAGTAATACACTTGATGATAAATTATTATGCGCTGTCTTTCTTGATATGTCTTTATTGATATTTAATCCGAACGCAATGATAAATAAAATAATAATTTATTTTAAATATTAATCGACTTACTTTTCCAATATGCTTTCCAGCTGTCATATATCTAAATGCAGCTTCAATTTCATCTCTTTGAAAAACTTTCCTGCTGATTGGTTTGACGGCTCCGCTAATAAGACCATTGACTAGTACCTTATTCAGTACCATTCTTCGATCCTCACTAGCTGAGAATAAATTATCCAACATAACGCTGTAAAATGTTATGCCTTTCGAAAACATTGATAAGTCCAACATATTGTTAGCCATAAAATCGAACTTGCCAATCTCCACGAAACGTCCATTTTTTGCAAGACAACGAATAGAAGCTTGAAGTTTTTCTTCGGCTAATGAATTCAGTACGATATCAACACCGCGACCTTTGGTCTGTTGGACTATCATTTGCTCGAAACTAGTGTCGCGTGAATTTCCGATATGATCCTCTGGAATAGATGGAAAGGTCTCTCTTATAAATTTCCGCTTTTCTGGAGTACCGACAGTGACGAATACTTCGCAACCCTCATGAAGTGCGAGATTAATCGCTGCTTGACCAACAGCGCCAGTGCCTGAATGAATTAATATTTTGTCACTTTTCTTTATTCTTGTCTTTACATATAATCCGTAACAACATGTGCCATAAGCGCAGGGGACTGTTGCAGCGTCCTCCAGAGTCCATTCGTCGGGGACATACCAGCAAAAAGCTGTATCGGCTATGCGCATATTTGATATACATCTAGAAGAAAACTTTATTATTTACGAAAAATAAAATATATAGTTTTATTTTATATTTTAAAATAATAAAGATTAATATTTATAATAGTAATATTTTAAAAATAATAAGGATTTTTAAATAAATTATTTAGCTTTTGAAGTTAAAATCTCAACATATGGATGCAATTTTTATCAGATATAAATTATATAAATAATCTAAATTATATATTTTCTAGTATAGTTTTTAGATAATATTACTTTTGAAGTAACTTGTAAGTAACAATAACATACCTATTTTCCCAAATACCCATTACTCTACGGTCAGCACTATCGATTCCGACATATTCCAAACCTATCAGACATTCTTCTAATCGTCCGCGTGACATATATTCATCCATGATGATTCTAGCCGTGGCTAACATTACATCTTTAAAATTAATAGACGCATAAACTATGCGAACAAGATTTTCGTGTTGATAATCCGAAACAATCGGGCCCTCGATCCAGCGAAATGAATTCAAATCACCGCGAATCTAACGAGAATACATACTGTTGTAAAAAATAGTATCAAAAAAGTCTTATTTAAAATATAATAAGACAAAAATAGTCTTATTTTATACAAAAATCGGATACGTACCATTTGATTGACTAAAGCATGATACGAAAGTTTTGGCGCTAAAGGTGCTAGCGGAAGATGTCTGTATGATCCCCATATCAGTCCCGGATGCAAAACATTTGTAATGAGATCGATCTGGAGTTGTTTCACATATAACGGTTCGTCTAAAGAAAATTTCGGTGCTGTCTCATCTTGGATCAACACAGCTCTTATTAATTCTCCGCCTGGTTCTTTTCTCAAACAATTTACAAGACCTAATAAACCGCATTCCGAATCTTTTTCGCCAACTAAAATTATTCTCGTTACATTATTCTCGATTTTTAAACTCGATATTAGTCGCTTCAACCAAGAGAATTCATAATTGTTCACACTAATAACTTCTGTCTTTCTCCACAATCTTTTTCTTTTCTTTAAGAGTACAATATGTTCTTTTTTCATTCGTTTCTCAAGGACTATTGTTAAATCGTGAATCTCCGCATTTATAATATCATCTTTTGTCAGCGGTTGTCCTCGTGTTATTAAGAATCCACCATCTTTTAATGCCGACAAAATTTCCTTTAATGTTTCGCTCTTATCATTTCTTAATAGATTATATCCAGCGATTAATATTGCATTATCGTCCTTTGATAGCTTCATGGATTGTGAAACCGTAATTTTTGGAGGAAGGGTAATAGAATCAAAACGATCAGTTCTAGTTATTAAATTTATGTTTGGTTTAATCAACGGCAAATTATTTAAGACTTCGAAAAATAATGGTGACGCTAATTCTTCTGTTGTTATCTCATCATCATCTTCAATCAATTCAATAATATTTACTTTCGTCATTTGATGATATTCCAGAGCAAGATGAGTCGATAAGATTATGCTCTCTTGTAAGGAAACTTCGGCTTGATCGCGATGTGCTACGAATCTATATTCTTCGAGAACAGGACTCGCTGTTGACTTTCGACGAAATATAGAAGTGGCTTTTACACCACGAATTTCGACACCACCTGATACTATCGTTTCCATATCTTTATACACGCGTACAGGAAGCTCTACATACATTTCAAAATAAAATTTTATTATTCTTTAAATTTTAATTATTCTTTAAAATTATTAAAAAGTTTATTATTTAAAAGAAAGTAATCTATTTGTACTATTATTCTTTATTTTTAAAACTACCAAGATATTTAAATCATTGACTGTATAAAACAATTAAGAAAAGAAAACAACATTCTCTAAACTTTTCTTAAACATCTATACATGTCTTTTAGCAAACTTACGTTTTTCTTCAGTTGTTATATTTTGTATACACTGAGTATGAAGCTTCGTATCGATCACTAATTTTTGTATCTCCGTAGGAACATAAAGATTTCTCATATCAATTCCCAAGATTTTTATTTGCAACATAGTATCCATAAACGTCACCCAATTATTCATCCAATCTATGTGTCCTCGTTTTCCAGTAGCAGATGAGCTTTTTAATCCTCGAAATAAATTAGCATATTGATATCCACGTAATTTAAGTTCTTTATAGATGTCTCTTATCGTCATGACTTCTTCCTCATCTTCGGAATTTTCTAATAAGAGATGATTCGGTATTTTTTCTTTAACAGGATCTGACGCAATACGCGCTTTGCCAGTAACAACAGCATTACCTCCCTCTATTATTTCAAAGTTTCCAGTGCCTAAATAATAGATATATAATTATTGTCTTGAATATTTATTTTCGTATTACAGTAATTAATGGTGTGTTAAAAAGTTGTTTACAGAATATAAGTTTCTATTCTAAATAATCTACCTTTCTGCACCATTATTGTTAAGCTCACATCTCCCTGCTTCGGAATATGTGTTGCCCGAAGAAATTTGACATTTTCGAATACAATCGATATGTCATTTAGCCACTGACCCTTTAGCATACTAATCGTATCCCAAACCAGAAGAAGATATCCCGTGGCTGGCAATAAGTTTCTTCCATCGATTACGTGACCACTTATGTATTCTAATGTTTCCTCTTTCACTGTGATATCGACAGTTCTTTCTCCAGAAGTAATCTTGGTTTGTGTTTTAAAATTCGTTACATACCAATCTTCGGAATGATTCCATCTAGAACATCAAAGAAAATATGTTTTACTATTCAACAATTGTTTTATATAAAAACGCCGTTACAATCAATTATTTTATGTTTTCTCTGTATTCTTAAGTATTCAATAGATATAATATTTGATATACTTGATTGATGGAGAAATCATTGGAGTTCCATGACTAACAGGAAATTCTACAGTGGGATATAAATTCGCTAATTGTGGTTGCAAACCATTGTTATACATTTTTCCTAATCCTTGCAAAAATACTTTAACATTGTCTTCGTGATGACGTTGAAGTAATGCAATACTTATCGTCGTATCGGTCAATTCTTCCATAACGCTTTGAAAAACTTCATCCGATACAATTTCTACAATTATCGAATTTTTAAGAATCCAGTTTTCCCTTTTTGCAGTTTTCTCGAAAAGTACAGAACCTAATAGATTATTTGTAAAATATTCAGCGTAGGACAATCCATGCGTTTCACTAAACGGATCTTGCCACATCAGACTATGTTTCATGTTATTGGGTATTATTCGATTTAAGTAAGCCAAAATCGTAGCTCTCGCAGATGCGAGATAACGACTGTGAAGAGGAATATTGTTGCAGTTAATTTCTTTAGTAAAGATATTATTATCCTAAAAAAGTATAAATGGGAATTTAATATTATTGCTCATGTAATTTATTTTATTAAAAATAAAATATTTAATTAAGCAAAAGAAAATACATAAAAGCATACCTGCAATTTTGTTATAAATGTTGTTACTGATTTTTTTGGCCCACTTATGGTACAAGTATTTTGATTTTTAACGGAGATTATGTCAATGTCCAGTGGACATATGTTCTTCGCGTTCTCATAACTAAGACCAATGTCTGCCATGGCGCCATGAATTATTTTTGTTTCATTCAACGCTAATCCTATATAATACGAGGATAGAAGCACTTGTTCCATTGTAAAGTTGCCAGTCACGTATCCGCAACAGAGTTCACCGATCGAATGACCAATAACATGATTTGGCACGATATTTACGGACTTTAGAAGTTCGATTAATCCGATCTAAAGAAATTAAAAATAAAATTTTCTTCTTATAAATTCTTTATAAATAAATTATATAATTTGAATGATTCATGCGACAATTAAAATTGACTCATCACCTGCATTACGGTGACGCCAACTAAAGAGTTCAATATATTATTAAAAATTGCTTCGTGTTTATTTGTTAATATGTTCATGATGCGCATTCCACGTGTTCTTAAAACAATATCGCACTTTTCTATAGTTTTATAAAATGCCGGAAATTGTAGTAATGCTTGACCTGCCCATAAATTGACATAATTTAATTGTAATTTATTTAATTGTAACTTCTACATATATATATATATATATATATATATATATATATATGTTTGTGTGTGTGTGTTTGTGTGTGTGTATATGCAAAGAAAGATGCATACCCATGCCAGGCCATTGCGATCCTATGCCAGAAAACATGAAACAGATCGGCTTCTTTTTACCTGAATAATGATATATTTCCCTTATTGTTGTAAATACTTTAGATTCAATAATCGCATATCCTCTGTAGGGATGACCTTGTATGTCATCAGCGTGAAGATCATGCAACAACCGAACATATTCAATATCTATCGGTTGATTATTGATCTATCAGACAGATTTATATAGTCATTTTAATAAAACTCTCTCTCTCTCTCTCTCTCTCTCTCTATATATATATATATATATATATATATATATATATATAATATAAATATAGGCTTTTATCAATGATGTAAAACGCAAAAGTTTTGTATACCTCATTTAATAATGATTCTACTGCTTGTTCAGTTCGACCAGATACGATGACGAGTCGCGGTAAATCATCGTTTGGTGCCCCACCATTAACTTTTTGCTTCAAATTAGATTGTAGTAAAATATGACAATTGGCTCCGCCAAAGCCAAATGAATTAATGCCCGCAAAACCAGGCTTCCATGGTGTTGCGATATTTACCACACGTATTCTTCCTTCCTTAAAAGCCTTAATATCTTGTCGTTCATTGGTAAAATTTATATTCGGTGGTATTATACCAGTTTGCATAGCAATTATAACCTTACAAAAAATAATTTTATAAAAAATTCTTCTTTTTTTCCTTTCTCTTATTTTTAAATTATTATTATTTCTTATAATTAAGGCAATTAATTTCTTACAATTTAGGCACAAAAAGAAAGCAGAAACAGTCTTAGCTTTATTTAAAATTAAAACTTAATAGATGTGTGTTTATGATTTTATACTAATTGTAAGATAAATTATTAGAATTACCATGCATATTATAATTAAACGCACACACACACATATACATATACATATATGTATGTATGTATGTATATATATATATATATATATATATATATATGTTATACCTTAACAATTTGACATAAACCTGCAGCAGCCTCAGAGTGACCCAAATTTGATTTGACTGACCCAATTAACAGTGGCGTCTGTCTATCCTTGCAGAAAACTTTGTCAATTGCATTGATTTCTTCCGGATCGCCAACTTTAGTACCGGTAGCATGAGCTTCTATAAAATCTATAGTAGACGGTGATATACCGCATTCATCATAAAATTCTTGAAGCAAAACTCCTTGCATTTTCCTGGATGGGAAAGTAATGCCTTGTTGTTTGTATCCGTCACAATTTGTCTTGACATGAACGACGGTTGCATAAATTCTTTTAGCTTTCTTTGCTTTTTGCAGAAATACTATACCAATTGTTTCGCTACGCATATAACCGTTTGCATTTTCATCGAAAGATCTACAAAATCCATCAGACGACAAAACTCCTAGAACGTAAACAGTTGTGTGAATAATAGTATATATAAAAAATATATTTAAATATTAGTATTAAAATATATTTAAATAAATACTTTTAAATATTTTAAATTTATATAAATCTGTTATATTATGAATTTATAGTTTTAATGTAAGCAAAAATACCAAGTCGCATAAATTGCAAAGATATGAGAGGATTCAGACAGAGATTTACACCACCGACGATAGCAGCATCACATTCTCCCAGTTGCATACTTTTATAGGCACGTTCTATAGCAAAGAGACTTGAACTGCAAGCACTATCGATTGTGTAAGATGGTCCGTTTGTATTCAACCAATAAGAAATTCGATTTGCCGACATAGTTTTACTAATTCCAAGAATTGCAGAGTCAGTTATCTAATGCATATACATACATTATTTAGAGAATTTACATGCTTGTTATATATATATTTTAATATAAGAAAATCATTTCAATTCATACAATTTGACATATAAAAAATATCTATCAAAATTTTTTATGATTAATGCATAAATTGATTTTGAATACCTGATGTTTTTGATAAATCCATTTATCTTCCGATTCAGAAAAACACACTGCGATAAACACTCCAGTGTTTGTTCCACGTAAATCTTTCGGATTTATTCCCGCATCGACAATAGCTTCGTAAGTATGCTCTAATAGCATTCTACCCATAGGATCCATCATGGAAACCTCATTAAAGGAAACGTTAAAATATTCCGCATCAAATTTCTCCAAATTATTGATTTTTCCCGTGCGTTGGGGTATATCTGGATGAGCTGTAAATTTTAAATCATGTGATTTAATCGAGATATCTTTTTACTTAAAGATTTTATATAGTGTAATTATATAAATAAATGTCAAAATTAGATAATTAATATATGATTACATACATTTTTATAAATTATGTGATACGATTTTCTCACATTATGTATACCAATATGATGGAATTAAATATTATTACCGTGATTCCATCGTCGGTTGTCATTCGATCCAAGGTCTATCTTGTTAAGTAGATTCTCCCGAAGATGTTTTATGTTATCAGATTCAGGAAATCTACCAGCGATACCAGAAATAACGATTTCGTCACCAGGTTCAATGTCGTGAAGTATATTTCTTTTACAATCCATTTTTAAACACTTTTAATCGAAATATTAAAGATTTAAAATTTAGAGAAATAATAACACTAATGTGTAGACAGAGAAAATCTCCTGATAATTATTAACAATAATACAAAATAATATTTATTTTATATTATTATATTTGTATGATTTTTTTAATTATAGGAAATTATTTATTATACACGTTATATTATTTCCGATTCAGATTTTTCAATCCAAAGTTCTGATTTTACGATTAGTTATTGTCGATGTTTCGTGACACTATGGATGCGTGGATGGATTTTGGACTTATTTATATACAAGTAATCTGTATGGTAAATATTTTATTATATGAAATACTATAGAAACTTATTATTTATAAGCATTGAAGTAAATAATGAATAACGGCAAAATTTATATACTTCTCATATAGCAAATGTAATAATTTACGATTACTTGCAATCATTTAAATGACAATGTGAATTCTTACTTTGCAACAATGCTGAGATGCATGCTATGATATATGAATTTGTATGATATGAATTTGTATGATATGTAAATTTTAAAAAAGACAATTTTATAATATCTATCTGTGATATAAAATCAACATTATTGTAATTTTTAATGAAAGAATACTTTAATTATACAACTGACAAATTTCTGTTATTAAAATAGCAATGCATTATTTATATGTATTAATAATATGTACATGTCAATAATGTACATATTATTAATAAGCATTTAAATAATACATATAAATTAACAAACTTAATATGCATTCTTTATATGCAATCTTAATGTAGTCAAAAAACTTCTCTCCTGTATCATATTAACCCTTTCGATTACTGACTAAAATTAACGATTGATCGCAGTTGACTTTAAATATATATATATATATATATATATATATATATATATATATATATATACCTATTCTTATAGCTTATCTCGAGAGCTTTCCAAAACACTATAATAAAGTATTTCTTCATTGAGTACTTTTCGAGTTATGAGGGTTGAAATCATTTCTTGATTTTACATAAACCATAAAATGTCTAGTAAAATATTCATTTTTCGATTATCTTACCTTAATACTTTTATGTATAAAATAATGAGAGGAATCAATTGGTGTAAAGAAAACATACAGTTATTTTTAAGAAAAAATATGAAATTGTTAATTGCAACTTACATATTTTTTTTAAAAAACAATTATTTTTTTCTTTACACCAATTGATTTCTATCAATATTTTGTATAAAAAAGTATTAAGGTAAGATAATAAAAAAATGAATATTTTATTAGATATTTTATGGTTTATGTAAAATTAAGAAATTATTTCAAGCCTCATTCGAAAAGTACTCAATGAAGAAATACTTTATTATAGTGTTTTGGAAAGCTCTCGAGATAAGCTATAAGAATAGGTAATAAAAAATGAGGGGTTTCATTTAAAAAAATGGAGATAACCTTGAAATCTCTGAAACGCCTTCACTTACAAAAAAATTATTAGTAGTATATTACGGCCCTCTTGGTATCGTACAACTTTTATAAGTATAAAATTTTTTTATCTCTAAAAATAACGAAGATATTCCAGGTGGATAGAGTTATTGGTCTACCCTGTATATATAAATCTTACTCCAATTTTATATGTAAACTCTTAAAAATGATATGTATGATCGATTATTTACGTAATTTGTTATCAAAATTTATTGGCACTTTTTTATAAAATTAGTTGGCTATCCCAAAATGCATTGCTATAACTAATTTATTTATGTGTGCCATTTATATAAATATAAAATTCAAAATTAAATTAATATGTATAAATTATTTTTATTAAGTGATCACTTTAGTAATACACATATAACAGAAAATGAAAATAAGAAATTGCCAAAATGCATTAATGGAAGTAATGTAAATTCAATTGTACGATCTCGTACAATCGACAAAGTATCAAGATTATGAATAAATTTTAATTTTTCTTACATACGTAATCTCTTAAGTTTATAATTAATGACAGATCTGTCACACATTTTATATTCTGCATGCTATCAGAAAAGCTTGTACTTCATAAATATTAATATTTATATATAATATTTATGATACTGCTAATTTATATTTTATGTATATTTTGCTGCTAATATAATATTTTGTCTACAATTATTGTTTCAAATAATATACAAAAACCTTTTTTAATATTTTTTCCATTTTTTTATATCTTATATATTTTCTTTTATTTTCAATGCATCTCGCAAATATTCAATCATACGATTTTATATTATATCACATTGTGATGTTCTAACACTATCCATATAACTAGTAATAAAAAAAATCTTCTCTAATATAATCACTAAAAAAGTTTTCAAAACTAAATTTAGATTTGGCTAATGCTAACATTATTCATGTCATGAGATTAAAAATTAAGTTCAGCTCTGCACACAAATCGCAGTGAAACAATGTTGACACGAATAATTTTATTATTTGATAGTATATTATTTCTCATTGTTTCCACCAAACTTGACACGCGACTTGATCTTTCAAATATATACTGTAATGAAAAATTTATTTCGTATTGTCTTTCGTCTTAAATAAGAATCATTGCGATTTGTGTATATCTACAAAATTGGGAAGTTTATAAATAATGAGTTCTCCTTTAAAAAGAATAAAAAATCTTTCACATTTTTCCAATCTTAATAAATTTCTAAAATAAAAATCTCTAATAAAAAAAAACTCAAAAAACTTTATTATGATTTGCTCGCACAACTGCAATAAGGTTTATTACCGTGTGCATTTTCTCTCTTTTGTTCGATTTTAATTTTTTCTCATGAAATTTCTCCGAAATCTCTTTTAGTTTTCCTCTTTTCTTTTATTATTCAACATACAGCGATTAAACATCAAGATATATCATGTTAAGCAAAAACTCATTTCCATAAGCTCTCTTCAAAGCGCATTGTCCGGCAAAATGCTACAAGCCGTTACGTTGATTAGATTGAACTTCCCTCGGTGAAGTATAGACCGCTATAAAATAGCATGCTTCCTGTCTCCAAAGAATAAACCCGTTTTAAGATAATTTTTTTCTGTTATATCGACAAATTATCTCTCAAGTAATTTGTTTACTACGATTTATCACTTTCTTACGCAGATCTTTTCAACCTTCAATTATTACAATCATTTTATTTGAATAAATACTATTATTTGTAACTTTCTTGATGATCATATTCCTTTTTTTTAGATGTAAGATATAATAGTGTTATTAGAGAGTCTTCTATAAATAGATCGTTGCGAAAGGAGATAAGCATGATATTTATGGTATTTGTGAATTATGTATGATTTTCATCGAAAAGAAGATGCCACGCATGATCAAATGATAAAGCAATATTTATGCCGGACAATACAAGGTCGCAAATATTTATTAAACGTTGGAAATAAACCTCGAACATTATATGATTCATTCAATTAAAATTGCAAATTATACAATAAATTGTTTAAGACTGTTTTAATGATCAATCTTTAAATTTTTCTCATAATTTCTCTACAGATCAGCATTATTATTATGCTTCTAGAATGAAACATATAGTCTACTTGAAATCATCGATCATTAATTGTAACATCCTGTAAAATCTAGCTCTGGAAATGATTGCAATGTCTATATATGGGTATATTAAATGCAAAGGGAAGAAACGGTCTTATGTTAAAAGTCTCTCTGAACGTGTTTTTGCGAACGAAATGCACAGAAAGGAGAAAAAAGACATCGACTGACAAAATTTTACACTTCGAAGAAGGAGAGATCAAGAGATAAAGAAGACCAACTTCTCCTTTCTCCTTTATTGACTTGGGCTACTATTGGTGCAGCGAAGATCCAAAGAAAGGCAGGTAGAAGATGAAACCCGAGCAAGATAGACAGACGCAAGGTAGATGGAGAAAGACGTCATTGGAAGTATGAGAAAGAGAGAAAGGAGGATGGAGCGATAAAAAAGGAAGAAAGACCAGCTTCTCTCTTTCTCCTTCAAAGAGAAGCGAAAGAGAGAACCAAGGCACGAATTCAGGACAGAATCTGTTTGACAGCGTCGGTTAGAAGTCGCTTTTAGAAGCCTCTCTCTTTCTCTTTGCTAGCGTGTTACCGTCGCGGTTGATCTCGAGTCGATCTTTAAGAAGGTGTGGCGATCAGACAGAGAGCGGAGGTAGGAGAAGAGCTTAGGAGAGAAAGGGCAGAAGATCGAGAGATGTCAGGGACCTTCGGAACACAAACGTGAGAGGCCGCCATAAAATCGGACATAAAAGTCCCATCAAATCCCCCCCATCATCATTCCCCCTTTCTCTCCCTTGTTTTACTTTTCTTTTTTTTTCGTTTACACTCGATATCTTCCATATCTCGTGGAATTCGGCATATATTCTATATGCTGAAATAATTTTCGATACGTCCTCGTCGCGCAACAAGTAGGCGAGCTGAGCCGAGGGACCTCGGAGAAGGCCGATTTCGTCTCGCGAGCCGAGGGACCCGCTGGTCCCCATTCCATTCCATTCTGTTCCGTTCCCCTCGTTCAGATCGACGAGCGTCGCTCGACAGAACGGAGCGGCCTTACGGCCTGTGCGTGGAAAAGTGGTTAGACTCCCGCAGCTGTCAGACGAGGCTGCGAGTTACAGGTGTGCATATCGTGTTCGTGCAGTCGTGTGTACATGACGTGTGCGGGACAAGCGTGTTTCGTGCGAGAGACCCCTGACTTTGCGAATTGTCTTCAGGATAGCTACAAAACGCGAGACGAGGACCGCCGACATATATACAGGCAAGTGGTGGTATAATAGAGTAATGTAGGACCCCAATGTCTCCCCACTGCAGGAACTAGGGCTGTTGCGTAGGGCTACCAACTTCGCATCGATCTCGGCGATGAACATCCTTAAATGTCCAGGATCGTCTCAATGTTTCGAAAAAAACATGGTGTACCTTTTCTTCTCTTTAACTCTTCAACTGAAAGCAAATTCTCTTTATAATCGGCAATCAGTTTTAAATTGCAAGACATATAAATGTTGAGACAATTAATTAATTTTTTGATACCGGTTTATGAAAAAAAATATTTATAAAATTGTTAAAAGTCCTTCGGGGGTGTTTTTAAAAGAATACAGCTACGCGTGCAAAGAGATTCAATCAGTATATTTAAAATTCAGCGCACGTGTGTAACGTCAAATGGAAAAGAAACGTGCAAAATATGTTTAAGTAGTTACGGACAAAATGTTAATTTAAATATCAAAAAGAGAAGTGTCAAAATTTATATAATCCGGGATTACTTTAACAAAAAGAATTAACAAACCGAAAGACATCTTGATGTTAACATGAAAAATATTTTAGACAAAATTATTGTAAGAACAATAATAATAAAATATCGAAAATTATTATTCATTTAAGATCTATGTTAACATATGAATTTTTATGATTTATCTCAATTGATATCTATCGATATGCTTTCAACTAAAATATTTCCGTTGCAAAGCACCGTCGTCGTTAAGGATCAGTGGGAAACGATTCGCCGCGAGATGGATAACATGGAAACGGGTTTAAGCGTGAAAGTAATTGAGGAAGTGGATGAACCGACAGACTTGCTCGCGCGGCAGGCACGGTAAAAGCCTAGCTTGTGGAAAATTGACGTTTTTCTTCAATCAAGAAAGAAAGAGAGAAAGAAAGAAAAATGAAGTGTATAATTAAATAAAAATTATGCAGGAAATTGTATCTGTTTACGTTCTGCGCGATCACGAAGTTATCCACGCAATTTCCATAGTCGCTTCCGTACCTGAATATGCGTTTAATATGTTCGCATATATTAAAAAATTTTTACTATATTTTCGATTCGTTATCTATTACGTAAAAAAGAACTTTATTTGTTATGCTAATCCCGCAATTCAATCTCGATTCCTATTTCATCATCATAAAACTTTTCACAGGTCATAACAATAAAAAAATATTGTCGGGGCTATTAAGAATAATGAATTCTCTTCTTGTATTCTCGGTGTTATCGTTTTATGTCAATAATTCTCTATCAGTTGGGTGTGTCTTTGTCAAGCAATAAATTATCGTCACGCTGTATAATTATATTTATTTATTTCACAAAATATTCCGATGCGAAATTTTCGGTACATTAGAATCTAAAATACACATAGGGAGAATTCTCATTCGTTATTTTAAATATAAGAGCAAAACTGCCTGTGTATGTATTAGATTGTAAATCAAGGTAAGTGAGCAGGCGTTCGTATAAAGAATGCTTCGATTAAATATCGAATATACATTCGTAATAACGGATCGCTTATTATTCGGCGCGTTTACCGTTTCAATCCGTTTCCTCGATAACGAGTCCTTGCCTGCAAACGAAATAATAAAGTTGATTTATTTCTTCATAGTGAACATAGTGAGTGATGGCCCTACGCCTGAGAGGTAGCAAGGATGTCAAGAAGAGCTTCTATTACGTCTGGTACCTTGGCGCGAGGGAGGCTAAGGGGGTGGACGCGATGCCCGTTGCCATAGCTTACCTGTTGGAGCGGGAACGACTTCAAGAACCTTTCAAGGTCACACTGCAGGTGAGCGGTACCATCCTGAAATCCGGTTTCGACACTGTGCACCGAAAATATTTTAAACGGAAACGAATAAGCCACGATGCGTTCACTCGGGAGTTTACACCAATACATATCGTATAGCTTTTCTATTTCCTCTCTTATCCCTGTTAAGGGATAAGAGATAAGAGAAATAGATAGACCCTTATCTATTTCCTCTCTTATCCCTTAACAGGGATAAGAGAGGAAATAGAAAAGCTATACAATATGTATTGGTGTAAATAAAAATCCTAATAAAGTCCTAATAAATTATCCTGCAAAAATCACGACCTTGTTTAAGCTACAAATTCGCTTAAATTAGTTTGCCTCCATCGAAATGATCTTCCATGTTTTCTGTCCAATCGATCGCGATGGAACGGACGACTTCTGACACGAATTAGCGACGCCTTGTTGTATATTGGAACGTGGGAATTTTCGATAATTACAGATTTAAAGAGAGATGCGACGTGTTCGCGATAAGAGGAAAAATTGTCCATGTAATGCGCTTTAATAATTTTCATTTAACAATTTCTAGTTCTTTGATTAATATTAATAAAAATATAGATATTTATTCTAACACATTACGTGTTATTCGCTGAGCGAATAAAAGTAATAATAAATTCATTGACCCGAATCTTATAGAATCGAGTTCAGTACGCGTTACCTCTCGAATAGGAAAAAGAGAAAATAAACGCACGGTGCCAAAACTGTTTCGTGACTGTTAAAAACATTAGCACGTGGCATGCGCTTCTCGATGCATATCAAGTGGCGTCTGAAAAAGGATACGCTCGTTCGTTTAGAAATCGCATTTGCTACCGGTGCGTGATGCAATAAATCTCGCTAAACGTAAGTCGGACCTAAACAGTGTAAGGAACGATTCAACGCTCGTTAGTAATGACGTCAAATGAAGCAAACGGGTTCTTTATAATGATTAGCGAATTTTTAATCTACGCATTATAGAATGCGCCAGATGTGCCGGACCGCATGTTAAAAGAAAATAATTATTATTATCATTATTACGCGATGAACGGTCTGCGATAGGAACATATAAATGGCAGGCTACAACTAATTAAGTTTAATCTCTAACTGTACTCGCGACAATTTTTCATTGAAAATTATTTGCCACGTATGATCGAGCAGTAAAGTGCAAATAAAAATATAAATTTATATGCTTTTTATTTTTCTTTTATTTTCAATTTTTTTTCCTTAACGCTTCTCCTCCTCTTGCTCGTTATTTTGTCGAAATTCCATCGCGCAAGACACGTACACTCACCGTGTAGAAAAAGACACGTTACGAAATGAGATCCATCTAATTATTGTGTAAGTGTAATTGCGCTGGCCGCGGGGCATGGACGATGCGGGAAAGTCTACGGGGTTGTCCGTAGGTGGCAGATATCCATAACCGGTCTCGCCAGTATTTCAGCAATTCGAATCGTCGCGATGATCGACGGCGCGGTAATTAAGTGTTTTCGCGAAGTGGAACACGTTGTACGGAGAGAGAATTACGCAGCGCGTACGCCTCCTCGCGTATATCTGCTCTCGCGTGATTCTCTTTAAGTACAAGGACGAATGTTTGCGAATGCGGGATGCGAGATAGAGAACGAGGCAATCGAGAGAGCTAAAATTCTACGACGCGAGTTTACTTTGATTTTATTAATATGAATCAATTATTAATCGTCTCTCTCTCCTCGACAGATGTAACGTTACTTTTATATTAAAGATTTAACGAGTTTTATTTAAAAAAAAAACGTACGTAATTCTTAATCCACTATTATACCGTACATTTAAATGTTGGAACGATCTTATGGAATGTATCTCGCGAAAGGCAAACAAAGCCAGGGTTTGCGCAAGAAACGCGTGAGCGCGCGCTCCGCGATGCAAGAGACGTGAACGGCGATGCATTTATATTTGATAGGTGAGCAACAAAGGTCTGAAGATCATACAAACGGTTCACCCGGGTGGCTCGACGAGATCGGCGGTGAAACACTTGGTACCAGGTCACGCGGTTCTGGCAGCCGTGCAACGGGAGGACGTCGTAGCCGCGACTCTGCTTCTGCCAAATCCCGCGACGAACAATCCTGTGCACGTACACGCATACAGGTCAGAGAGCTAATATAATCGACAAGCGATAAACTACCTATTTAAATTAAAATAAATTTTTGAAAATTCATATTTTTGATACTGCTTAATATATTGATTAAAAGTAAATATTTTCTCGTTCTAATAACTTTGTTCTTTCAGTCGAATATACTTATGATTCGCCTATTTATTAATTAGAAAGGAGTTGCAAACTTTTATTAGGAATATACAGCATGGGAATAAGATGCAGCCACGTTATTTCAAGCCCGCACAAGGAATTTGCGGTTAAATAGAGATCGTCCGTTCGCTTCATCATCTCGATCTCACTTATTACGGACCGTTCTTTAATTTACAAATTTCATAATTCTAACAGATCGCTAATGACTTTCATAATCCCGCGCACATCAATCGCGTTATATCGTTGCAACGATGCAGCGGATGAATAGAGATGAAACTTTGTCATTAATATGCAAGTTATCGAGGCTATTATTACAAGGATAATTAGAACATTTGATATAATTATTCGAATCTCGAAAGAGGCCTCGAATTTTATTTCATGCCACAAAGAGAGAAACGGGATTATAAAGCGAGTTCTACGCGAGAATCGCGGCACCGACAGCGATTGTTTAAATCGAAGTAACCGCGAAGGCGCGCGATCTCTCTGGTATGCTCAATGAAAGTCCCGTTAAAGAACATTTTGTAGCATAAAGAGCTCGAGTGAATTTATACAATTATATTCCACGATGAATTTCGTTAAGTATACCAATGACCCGAATGAGAAGAAACGGCCGGTTTTTTTTTCACATAGAAACGCCAATCGTGCTTATCGCGAGCTTACATCTAGATATAAAAAATATAATGTGAATTTTCCATACGCATTTTTCGCAAACAGAATAGAGATCGATCCCACACGTTTTTATGTTCTACACGGAAGTTTTGTATCGTATTTTCTGTTTATCCTATCTTTATCTTGTCGGTAATAAATTGTTTTAAGATACCCCATAGAGTTTTCATGAAATGTTGCGTGGAAACAAGTAAAATCCCACACAAGAGAATCTTTACAGAGTCGGTAGAACGAGATTATTTCTCTATCGTTTTGAAAACTCTAAAGACGGGGCTTCTCTTTATCTTTCCTCTTGCTTTCCGGCCACTTTAGATGTGACTCAGTCGAAACCGCCGAATTGTTGGGTGGCCAGTTGAAAGCGTTGGCGTCACACACCGACAATTTGGCCAGGGTCACGGCGAGCGAAGGCAGAATCCGCAGCAATCTAGGCAGCGACGGTCGGAGTACCAGAGAGTCCGAGTCTTCTGAAGGCAGCGGTGAGCTCAGACACGATCCGGTCCAAACCACGACCATTTACGAGTCTCTGGCCGCCGAGTTGCGGGCGAAATTAGGTGAATGCCTCCTTTAAATCTCGCTTAATATTTCGCTGTACAAGATTTTATATGTATGTCAGCGCGCACAAGTGGAATATTTGGAAAAGTGTTACGTATATCGTATATGAGGTACATGTAAAATTTCACATAGAATTTATCCTCTAATAAAAAGATAGAAAAAGAATTTTATATGATAAGAATCACCGAAGATTTTATTTAATCTTTTTCATTAATATTTATATCAAACGCTATTTTCACAATCGACGATTTTAACTAAGCGAGAGAACGAACGTTAGAGCATCCGCGCTCGTTCGAATATGTGTCAAGGCAATGTGGATACCAGCAAACAATCGTGTTTCAGGCAGAGGTAATTCCGACGACAATGACGTAGGCCCGATATTACTGCCGCCGCGCGACTATGACACCGTGCACAGACACCGTGGCAACTTGGCCGGTATCGAGTTTAGACGTTGCTTAAATCAGACTATCGTGGGTGGTAGCACGGCCATTGACAGGGGTGGCACGAGGAGCGCAGCCAGCAGCGGCATAGGATCCGATAGCGCGGCAACACCACCGCCTTATCAGACGCATCATCCCCTCGGTCAGAGACCGTCCAGACCGTCCAGAGATTCCTCTTCCGGTAAGTGATATTTGTCGTATAAAATGTATGGTTCTTAAAACACTTGATCTTTTTTTTGAATAGTGTATTTTAATTTCAGACATCCCCAAATTATTTTTCCATGTTTTTTAATAATTCTTTGTTTCATAAAACTAACTTTTTGTTCTGCATATAATTTAGATTCGAGCATCATCTTGCTCGTAAGTTTTAAATTTCCAGAGTTTTTAATTTCGTATAATTACATATAATTTGACAATTAAGACTCTCGAGCAAGGCAACATGTCAGAGATACTTGTTTCTCCGACAAGTTAGAATTTCTATTGTTACTATTAAGAGACACATGTATGAAATTGGCAAGTAGGTCGTTGCAATGTAAAGTCTGAGAGCATTCTCCAGCATTGCATCAAGTTACAGTGCAACATCCCATTTCAAGTAAGAAAGTTTGAACGGAGGAGCATGCGTAAAATTGACTGCGAGCATGACAATTGCATCTAGCGAATGTGAAACTTGCCACGAATATTACGCTCGTGTTTCATATAAGTTTTGCGTTATTATGCCAATATTCTTCTTTGAGAGTAATTGCATGGATAGGTATTACACGATCGTGAAAATAGGTTTTCAGGACGTAAACACGAATTACCTCGAAATTGCTATTTCGATCCGTATGTATTTCTTATTTGACATACTTAATGGAAAATTTATACCATGTCGACTCTCGCAGTAATTAAATTTATTGCCGCGTTGCCTTGTACGGGATAGCCGTTAAATTCTGAAAGTTGAATAACTTGTTCAATTTATATTCAAAAATTTCGCGATATAAAATATCGAAACTCGAAGACGGGGAGCGATCGATAGGAACAAAGGAAAGGATTGTAGTTATGTAAATGTTTAACGAGCGCGCTAAAAATTTCGCGTCGTTACGCCATTCGCGGCTAATTGCAAAATGGAAAGTTTTTCGAGTAATCTCTGCTATCGAGTGGACGCATCATTACGTCGGTTAAGCGATAATGCAAGACGATGCTGGACGCTACATGAAAGTGAAAGTCATCGCTTCTTCTTTTCACGATCCGTCTCAGGAAACGATCGCGCACCTAATAATCAATCTTCTCGAAGCGAAGAGAACTATCGTCATCGACGAAATTAGTTTTTAATGGCACAATATATATAGAAAATTAATCTCGTTCTGGAAGAAATTGTGCCACGTAAAAACATTAATAAAAAAACAATACATTTGTACGTATTGCTATCCGTACCAGAAAATATAAAAAAAAGTAAATTAATTGGCGACTTTCTTTATCTCCTGAAAATATTATTACCTATCGGAAATAACCATGTTAAACAAATCATTCGCAACGCGTTTGCTGCGCATAAAAGCGGAACTATAATTCCGCGGTCAAAGATTCATACCGAATGACAAAAATTTGGGCGCTTTCTACTCGCGGAACAGGTGTCCGTGCGTGTCGGTTCGAATCTTATCGGCTCTCGTAGAAAACTGGGCAGTGGCGAACCGTACGACCCCATAACCCAATTGCCGATAACTACGAAAAATCGTTTCTCGACGTCTTTAAGCACGTTCGCTTTTTTTTTTCTTCTTTTTACCCCGCTGTTTCGCCGCCGTCGTATTGAATACGGAATTAAGTTCGACCTAATTTGTTATAAATCACGCGCTCTCGCTAACAATAAAATTGTCCACTTTCACCCCGGTCGAACCCGAAAACGTCGCATTTGCCTGCACGCGCGTCGTTCCGAGGGAAACGTGCGAAATCGCATCCTTTGAAAGTCGATTTACGCGCAACGAACATTTCACAGGAAAGCTGACGCAGAAAAATCGCGTTTTGCAAATTAATAACCTCTTCCTGCTCTCTCTCTCTCTCTTTTTCTCTTTTTCTTTCTATATACACGCATAAATCGATCGTTCAAGATTTCCATGCTTCGCGATCGAATCTCTCTGCGGTTGAAGCTGTCAAAATCAAAAAGGCGATCGCAGACAATAAACCGTATTTGATGGAGGAGGCTTCTCGCAAAAAAAAACTCGCAATCCAATTAAGAGAAACTTATTTCGTTTAGAATATACTTTTTCAAAACGGGGACGCAAAATAATAGAGAGAAGAGTATGTATATAACGGTGATTTTCAGCACATGTAGATGCTTTATTGGCACTCAGTCTCGCGAATGAACTCATCCTACTTACTTTACCTTTCATACAAAGTGAACCGATAGAATGCACATTAAATATGCACGTATATCAGAGCTCTAAAGTCGAGGAGCTCGTCTTCTGGGGCGTGCCTTCTTCTCGCGTGAGAAACATGTTTTTTAACGGACGACTGACCCATATAACGTCGCCGAATAAATTTCGAGATGAACAAGAGAGTAAAAAAAAGATGCCCCCATCGTACATCGTGTTTACCGGTAGAGATACGCACGGCATGACGTTAAGCTCATACGTGTAAGGAGAGAAAGAGAGAGATTGTATTGAGCACCTGTTACAGTGGAAGAGGAATACCGTTAGGACGTCGTCATGTTAGCGGCAGGTACCATGGCCTACGACGGGTGCACGTATCTCAGCTGCCTCCAGAACGACATACGACCGCGAAAACCAGTCGCCGATTAGCGCTCAGATTTTGCATAAAAATTAGACATTTTACGAGCCACCGATTTCGACTCGTAAAAGAATATTCTATTCTATATTTTATATAATTAAAATATTCTATTCTATATTTTAACGACATTAATTCTTGCATTATAAATTACAACCGATAAGTAATATATTGATGTTAAGATAAAATTTTAATATCAATGTAATGATCCACAGCTATTTGCTATTATTTTTTCGATTCATGATGCGCAAAGTTGTAAAATTTCACGGAACTTTGCTGTTCAAGATGAAAAAAATCAATCGCGGCATGAAGAGCATAAATAATGAAGAGAGAGGGAAGAGAGATCTTACCTGCATATTCTTTTCTAACCAGGTCGCATAAAATCTCAAACTTTAATCATTGGTATTTATGATTATTATAATATCAATATTTAATTAAAGCGCTATAACTGTTTTAGTTATCTAATATTTATGATAAATTTATCGATAATTTATTCCGAAGTGAAATATCATTGAATATTGAAATACGAGAAAGATGAGCGACACGTGTAAAAGATCGCCTTCACATTTAGGTTTCGCGCGATTAAAAAGGACGTAACAGATGTTGGAACGCGGTGATCAACACTTGATCACAATCTTTTTACTCCCATCCTGTCGTGTGAACGACGCTTCATTCGATTCTATCAGAAATCCTTACGATGTAAAGCGACATGACACACTTAACTACCTTCGCGCATACATATCTTTCACGGATTCTCCTCTGCATCAGCTTATGTGACGTGGCTGCATTTCGCGCGAAATTATTCTAACGCTACTTAGATTCCAGGCGAAGATTAGCTTTATCGATTAATCGCTTTAGAATCGATGTTAATCAATTACACAGTCATCGACGCCTTATTGCGTATATGAAGATTTAATATCTCCACGGAAAGTATGCCGTTACGCTGTCCCGAATCGATATGAACGATGGAATTGATAGATAAGGATCGTATCTCATTAGCCACGCAGACGCAGTTTTACAAATTAACATGCAATTTTATAGATTGTCACGTTAATAAATAATACGCGTAATAATTATTATAATCATACAGAGTGTCTCGGCACAATTGAAAAAATTCCGGAGAGGCGCGAACAATGCAATGGCAGGGACGGTCCCATGTAATTGATTGCATCCCTCCAATTCTTACTTAATACAGTAACGGCACTTCGCCTCTCTACAGCGGATCGTTGCGTAAAGGAGTTCTTCTCTGAATGCGCGTTTCCACGACGCGGCCGAGAGGAGGCGGAGGCCGAGAGCGTCGCTCCGTGTCGTCGTTGTTTACGGCAACGGATAATGATAGTCATGCTGATGATGATGATGATGATGATGATGAGACGCTGTCTTGATGACGGCGACCGGAGCGACGGCGGCGCGCGGATGCACGTAAATTCGTGCGTGATTCGACCTCGTGGGAGGCCGTTGTACGTTGCGGAATAAGGTTCCGCATTCTCGGCCCACAGCCCGAGGCACCTCTCAGCCTCCTCTTTTCAACCGTGTCTTTTCGTGCCTCATCTGTGCTCCGTTCTCCGCCGTCTCCTCCGTGCCCTCTTAGCCCGCTACCGCTCTTTAAATCTTCCTGACCTCATCAAGATGCCAGATTCCGCGATGCAAGAATTACCGTCGACCGATTTTCCACGGGTCAACTGGAAGAGCAAAACTGCCACGCTTGACGAAATTCGCAGTCATATCTCGATGTTTATTACCATTGTCTTTCGTGAAATATCTTTTATAAAGTTTTTTATCTTTTATAAAGTATGAATATAATATTAGATATATGATACAAGGTTAAAATATTTTTAACGATAGATTTTTTTATATCGATAAGCGATAAAACACTGATAGAAAGAATATTCATTGTATATTATATAGACTGAAATTAAAATTAATAATGCCAATTTTTGTATGTTAATGTAATTCGTAGATGACGATTGGGGTGCACTAAACGAAGAGAATGATTATCTGCCAGAAGAGGAAACAGCTGCATCGAGTCTGACATTGCCGCGATTGCCGCGAAGCCCCGAAAGGGTATCTAATCAAGCAAATAGAGGAGTTTCACCGAGCTGCAACAGAAATCGACGAGCGGCGGAGTTTAGACAGCGATCGCCGAGTCCTCAATATCAGCCGAGGGTCAATCCCGGCGAGGTGACCAGTCCTAGAGAAAGGTTCCAAGATGCCAAGGAAATGTTTAGGGCTATGGAGAGGGAGGCCATCGCCAGACCTGTTTTCTCTAAACAGAGAGACAACGATCATCATCCTGTGCACAGGTGCGAAAGAGATCTTAGAGAGAGATAGAAAAAATATTATTTTTTATAAATATTATTAATAGTTTCCCGTTATAAAATTGCGCAACAAAAATTATAGATAATATAAATAGAGAAAAGTTTGTTGCGCTAGAAACAAATTTATTCTACATGTAATATAATATCTAGTACATATGTGGCGAGCATGTTTTAGTACGGAAAACATTAAGCAACATTAATCGCGCGGTTCGATAAGGAGTAAAAACCGTAATGTAATGTTGTAAAGAGTATCAATCCAGAGATCTAAATACGACATCAATATATTGTCGCGCTTTTCATTTTGTACATATACGGTTCTGTTCACCTTTCCATGCTTGAACAGGTTTCGAGTATAACTGAGATTTTCACCGATCAAATGCATTCCTGCAAGAAAGATTTATAAAGGCGTGGATCTTGATAGATCAGATATTTGTTTTGTAGAAAATGCAATTAGTATCCTGCATGTCCACATTTTTCAATTTTTCATAAAAAATTTCTCTTAAACTCTCGCATTTATATATAAAAAAAAGAGTATTAAATAATATATCATTAAGAGTAGTAAAAAATATAATCCTTTCTGAATCATTTTAAACTGATAATATTATACAATAATCCTGATTATATTTAGAGTTTCTGTAAAAAAATAATTTATTAAATAATTATATTATAACGATTTGTTATTTGATAGGGTCGAATCGGCGAGACAAGTTCACGAGGATCGATCCAGTCGCCAATATCCGATGAGCATGCACTCCACGTCTTCACATGATCATGTGATGAGACGAAATCAGCCGGACGCGCTGGATCGTGAAAATGGCGTGTCTTATAAGGGAAGACCGCGACCCAGGACTCATCATTACGCGATCGAACGTTCATCCGAACCGGAAATTTCGAGGCCACGACCGAGAAGCTTTTACGAGAATCCAGCGATTGGCAGAGATTTCAGAGATCAAAGGAATCCCGTCGACCAGAGAGAGGTAAGAGTCGCACGTTTGCGACTCTTCAAAAAGTCATATATTTAAAGCACACAATTACAGATACAATCTTAAAATTATAACATATTTTGCCCATTAAGCAGGTGAGAGAATTTCGAGAACGTATGCAGCACTCACAAGAATTGCGTGACAAATTGCGAACGAGAAGCACGAATCTCTATCGGGAGATATCGGAGCACGAAAGATACCCCGGACTCGACCGTGAAAGTGCCAGACCGGCGGAGATGATTCCGACACCTGGAAGATATCGTCACAGCTATGCCGAACCGCCGAGACTCGGTCTGGCCGCGCTGCATCCCTACTGATGCATTAATTTTTGTTAATTGATGAATTATTTAATTATTCGATACGTCGCGTTATATCATACTGTTCGTGTACTGTGCCTTGATCGTTCAGTGTGCTCGTGGTTATAACAATTTATCCTGCCACATAGAATAAGCAAAGAGAAAGAAGGATGCAAAAGAGAAAGAAGATATTTTCTATTTTTCATTTTTTTTATAAGCAACCAAACAACAGGGAAAATTTTCAATTAATATTAATATTAATATTCATATCATTCGTCAGTCGCTCATATAATTAAAGACTGCAAAAATGAATAATTTAATGATGTAATTCGTTGTTGGTAAACTAAATATTACTGTTAATATTACGTACTTAATAAACTTGATATAATAATTTTAAATTATAAAATTAATTGAAGACGTGCATCTCTTTATAACGATTTGATTATGTCACTGAACAGTCAATGCGAATTCAAAATTATATATGTATATATGTAACGAGAGTAAAAGAAGCTTGTATATGTATCACATTTTTTGATGAATTCAATTATGATTTTGTGTATCGTTGTTATCGAGTACGAACAGAAGATCTCGTTAACAAGATGGTTTTAATTAATAGCGAAATGCAACACAATCCTGACATACGTGCTATCTTGTTATACGTCAGATGCCACACTAACAATATAATAATAATCGTAACAACATAATGATATCGATAATAACAGTACCAATAATAATTATAATAACAATTTCTTGTATTACTTATTTCTTCCTTTGATTGATCGAAGTTATCAAACATTACAAGCACATAATTGTGAGAAATAAATTTCCGCTTAAATAAATTTGAAAACAAACTTAGAAAAAATATTATATTTCGAAATATATTCTTTTACAAGATATATTTTATTTACATAATCGAAATATATATACGTCAAATACATTTATCAAAAGTTGATTATTGAACAAAAATTTCTCCTTAATAGAAAATTATCAGTAAATGCATATTTTTGTCATAAAATATATCTTATTAATAAATTACAAATGCTCATTAAGAATTATAAAAGTTTCATTTTTCATGTAATATTAGAGAAGCAGATTAAAAATCTTTTTTCTCATTAAATATGTAAGTTTTTATCCGTTACATTAAGATTGTACATTTCAATTTTTAAGCTGAACAACGAAGCTTCTTATTCTAGAAGAAGTACGTGTATAACTCCGTTTAATTTATTATATTTCACAGTCGCATTTTCGCAGTAATACCGGCAGTTATGTAAAGAATTCAGCTATGATAAAATGAATTCGAAGAATCTTGCTTTCATAACATTTACACACGAGATATATCCGGTGAAAATCGAATGACGTAAGGAATGCTCTCTCCAATTTCTACGAAGAGGCTCCAGGTTGCGTTATATTTCAATGAATCTTACACTCCAAATGTGAATCGAACGTATTCAAAGATCTCATATTTTTAGTAATAATATGAAAATCATCACATAAAAATGAAAAAAAAAACGGAAAAATGATAATAGATTCAATGCGACTTAAAAGCAATACTTACTATACAGGCGTTTCACAGATTTTTTTATCATGAATACGCATTCTGAATAATATATTGATTACATATCTTAAATAGTTTGCTAATTCTTCGGATTACTATGGACGTACTCATTTTTTATTATCCTGGTTATTTATCTGACTACATCTTGACAATTTAGCTTCTATTACAGGAAAGAGATAAACTCCTTTTATGCCGTTTAATTATTATCGTTAGTAGATGCGTAAGAATAAACGTTTTACGCATCTTTATGATCATATAAAATATAAATAAAATTATGAACGTTTGTATTAGACGTTTATATTAATGTATAATTTTATGTTTAATGTTTAATTTTTTTCCTATGGACTCAAGTTATTAGTCAAAATTAATTAATAAAATTTTTATAATAATACATATAATACATATAACTATTGTAATAATAAAATGTAATTTACATAAAATTACATTTTATCATTTGGATACTTAGCTTCCCCTTCAGGATAAACCTTCCAGGTACTAAGCCCTCCCACCAACGTCAAGGTGTATCCATTGGGAGGGTTAATTCATATAATTTTTAATTCAATGTATAATTTATAATGTATTTTATAATTGGGACATTATGTCTCCATTACATTTAAACATTAAATTTAAATTAAACATTTAATTAAAATTAAAAATAAATATTCTGACTGTAATATTAATAATACATAAATATTGTGTAAAGTTAATTCATTACTGGCGATATATTTAACGCAATATATAAAATAGATTAATTTTTTTTAAAATTAATTATTAATTAAGCAATTATTGCTTTTGTTATTTTAATTCGTTTAATTTAATTTAATTGATATTTGATTAACAATTTACGTTTTAATTTATAACTTCAATCTTAATGACAAACTAAATCAGTGAAAAATTTAAAACATTAATTAATTTAATATTATCATTTTATGTTTTCATATTTTTAAAATACACATTTCTTTGTGAAATTTTTTAATTGCATTTTATTAAATAATATATGGCCTGAAAAGAAATAAATAACATGCATGTAGCGTGCGCTTTGTATTCTAATATAATAAAACAGTTCAGACGAATCTAACGTAAATGTTTATCATGGAAATAAATTAACCATATATACACAGTATCAGAAATTGATTACGATGAAACATAATACGCATATCTACTCAATCGTAGAGAAACTTATCGTGAACCGGTTAGCAACAAAAAATTATTTGAATTAATGTAAAGTAGGAAGTGGTCAGCAGATATTATTTCAGCATTTCTGGAATTCTTTTGCGATACATGACAACATAAATAGAAATAATATTTAAATAATATTTTTTATCGGCGGATAAATAAACTCATCATGTATATAACTTTGATGTATATAACTCTATTTTATTAATTGTTTTTTGAGAGTTGATAAATTATATTATTGATATATAAAATGTTATAAGCCTGTATGTTATTGCTATTCATTATATTCATTAACTCATATATATCTACAATGCATTGATTTATTTTAACGCAACTTCCGTACACGCTCCTAGACAGCGTGGCAAAGCAGGCAATAAACATGTATGTGGATGTATAAAAATATGTCGTCAGAAAAGTAACAGTCAGAGATGCCCGTGTTGATCAACTTTCAGTGTTGAGAGGAGAAATTGTTCTTAAATGCGGTACAGAATAATTTCGCACAGAAGAAATTGATACATATCGCGGTTTACAGAGGAAAGCGCAACAAGCGCATAAGTGTAATTTCGAGAAAGTCTTTTCGCCCGGGACATAACGCTCAACATATCTTAATATTCGCAATTTATTACCGTGGCGCTATTTTTCACTCGCACTTTTCTGTCATCCGTCACAATTCACTCCAGCTTTGACAAACGTGCCAAATCTCTCTATAATAATGCTCCCGAGAAGTTTCGTAAACCGTAATCATCCTCGAGTGCAGTTTCGCAAAGATAAAGCAAAGAGATTAAGACGCGTGGAATTGTCGCTGTCTCGTTCCTCCCTTTGATGAGACCTGCAATCATGCGGAACATTGCTCCATCCTCGAGCAAGGCATATACCGGGTGACCGTTATTGGCAACGGTACTGAGAGCAAAGTGTTTGTGTCGTTCTCCTGTAACGTAATTCGCACGCCGCTTATATAATGTAATTCAGAAATTCGATTACCGTTGCGTTACCACGTCTAAAAGTGGATTCTCACAAAAACACACGTCCGTTTCGCATCTTTGGAATACAAAAATAATGAGTTCTCCCTTCAGAGAAAAGAAAGGGAGAAGGGCTTGTGTGTTAAACGAATATACAGATGGATTATTCCTAACACATTTGAATGATTTTGTGAGACGAGATCGATGTTTGTATCGAATATTCGGGCAAATGGAACACATTGCATGTCACTATACGTGTGTAAATGCAGAACGGATAAACAGGCTCCCCTTCTCCCATAAAGGGATTCAGTGCTTCGAACCTGTCTGTTCGCTTCTCTCGATGGCAGTGACCTGTTATAGGGGTCTCACGGGCCCCAGGGCCTTTACATTCGCGCGCACGCGATAGTTCCTAGTTAAATGCCAGGCATTCTATACTGTGCGCTATAAACTCATGTATCATTTGATCTTACATTACCCTTTGTATTTGCACCGCGAGAAAGTTGCGAAATATCTCGACTTTTTCACTCGTAACTTATCGTGAGTTTAATGTTTGATACTGACTTTTTATAGAAGGTTTTCTTTGAAAGCTATCTGGAATAAATTTCTTGAAAAAAAATTAATGAATAAAAAGAGAAAGATATATAAATCCATAGATAATAGTTAAACATAATTATATATTTTGAATATAGATATATAGATTTAGTTTTAACATACCTTGTACGGAACATGACTTAGCTTCGTATTCCGATTCGCCATCAATAAACATGATAAGCGCATGACCTCGTGACTATCTAAAGACAAAAGTACGTGACGGAAAAGCGGATGTTACGTGATGGAAGTGCCGTTGCTCTCAATGCGCGTACGAGGAGGAATTTTTTAAGAAAAATTTTCTACATGATTGTCTTGCCATAATATTTGCACATTATATCATTGCTCAATTGAAATTTGAACATCTTCGAAAATTCTTAATATATTATTATATCTCTTAATATAATTTTATTATTTTTATTATTTTTACAGCTACTTAAATTTCTCTCAATTATATATAACAAAAATCTTAAAATAATTCGCGGTTATATCGCGCAATATATTAAAAATACTATTGTCAAAACAATTTGTTGTTAAACAATTTGTTGTTATTGCAGTGAGGAATATTTGTAACGTTCAAGGGAGGGAATTCGATCATCCTTTTGATTAGTAAAAGTGAACTATCACAAATGTAGCACTCATTCGCATGTGGCGCTCATTCGCATATCTCCGGTGTTTAAATCTCCCGTTATTTTACTCAATCCGGTGACTTTAATGCTCGGTCGTCTCGGTATCGGCAAATGAATAGTACGAATGCAATCAACCATGTGAAATTTATAGACATAAACATACTTAAAGCATAACTGTTCATACAAATTGAGATCTAAGCAAAACGACAAAACGCAGTTTAGTATCGCAGTATTCCTTTTTAATAATCTTTTATAAAAGATATTCAACTCTCAGTATCTGACAAGTGAGCTCACAATGTATGCACGACAAATTGTAAATCGAAACTTTGCATAGATTTGCAAAGTTTCCGATTATGATTATTAATGTTAGCTTTCAAGCGACTTGCAATTTACCACGTTTAATCGTCTTTTTCTCAACGTTTCACTAAACTTTCTCGCAGTTTAATCGCGTCGGCGTCGTCATTTACGCATCGCGCAAGTTTCAGGCACGCGGAAAACAATTACGCATGTGAAAGAAAGTACTTCGCCTCGACGAGACGGCAGCGGCGACAGCGCGCGGATATTTGTGCCAGGTCGACAAATACCGGTTGCGCATTTTATGGATTTTTACAAGCCCTCGCGAGAAGACTATCGTCTCTATTTGCATAAAACTTTCGAATTGTCCGCCTGGCTGTCTGTTAGAAAGCCATTACAGTCCTCGGTATAACGGCATGTTTTCTTGGTCCGGCCACGCCATATCGGGTTCAAAGCACTTTGTCAAGATGTGTCTGACTATTCTTCTATCTGAGGATTATCCATCCCAAGAATAAACCTGAGATAGCACAAACATAAGAATGGGTGCTTGGAAACTTTAGCAGCCTTTGCAAACACTACTTACATTTTAAAACAAGCGACATCTCTATAAAGATTGACATAGATATAAAGGACGTGATATGTTTGCTGCAAATATTTCTAATAGATCAATATTGAAAATAAGATTAAGTAAGATTAAATTTTTAGAAATGTAAGAGACTTTTTTGATTTTTTTCTTACTTTTTGCGCAAAAATAAAAAGTTATTTTTTCCATGAGAAAGAAAATCAAATTAATTTATATTAATTAAGTTAATTTATAGCAAACAGTTAAATATCCTTTTATCTTGGAATATATTATAAATTTTAATTTTAATAAATTTTATTTAGAGGTTTTCAATATATCCAGGCGAAATATTCGTATAGAAAAATGATAAAATAAAAGAAATTCGTTTATATTGTGTTGTAATATATAACGGTTTAACATTAGAAAAATACAGAAAAAACAGCATTATCAATCAACGAGTCAGTCATGAGGATACGTCGTCGAACATGTATTCGAAATGTCGCACAGAAAGAGGATGCGTAACGCACTTAAAAAGAGGGGATTGAAGAGAGGATTCTTGGACAGAGGTGATTGCACTGTACACAGCGTTTGGAATCTTTGTAATTAACGTGACGATGACCCACTAACCCACTACACGATCGATTCTGTTTAGCAGTTTCAGACAAATGCTTTTTTAAATGTATGTAGATTTCTACCGTAAGTGTTTCAAAGGATTATGAAGCACTTATATTTTTATTAGAATTATATAGTCTTGCTAATATTTATTATAATTTAAGAGCTATGATTTATGCATCACAGATTCACATTCTAAATTATGTGAACCAGTCGTCCTTCGAGTCATGTCAAAGATACGTCGAAGGTCGGCATTCCTGAGTCCCGAAATAAATGTTTAAAAGATCCCAAGTAGAACTTGCATACTAATCAGCCATTTCGGACTATTTCTTCTTCTTTCGGTATTTTTAAAGAAATACGGCAGATTTGGTGATCTTTATTTCTAATTTTTTTAGTAAAAAGAGTTATCTCGTTTGCAATACAATAAAGGGAATAAAAATAGACGTATCCAAATTCAAAAAATATCTAAACGAAGATCATAAAATGAAATAAGGAAAACAATCTTCGTAAACTAACTATAAATATATTTTTCCCCCAAAAAATTAAGAAGAAATAAAAAAGAATCTTTGATATTAGAATGTATAATATTAACTCCCGAAATTTTTATTCAATATTGAAATTTTCCAAACACTTTTTATCTTCTGAAAATTTCAAAGACTGCAAAGCAGAGAATCTTTGATCTCTTGGATTCAAAGTTTGCATCTTTATTTTATTGCCATAAAATTATGATACAGTTATAAGCAACAGTACTCAAGTTAATTCGTACGTTTCATGTCGAACGGAAATGACTCCGCCGTATTTGCCCTGCTTCTAAATATGTCAGCTGTGCGAAAAGATTCCAGAAGAATTCCCACTGAAAAATGCCGACATTGGGCCACGGTCAGGGTTCCGGTCACGCGACCCTGATTCTGTGTCTCCGCGATTTCACGCTCGCAACGCGAACTCACTACCGGATTTTCTTGTCTTCCTGTCGACCTACGGTTAATTGCATAGAAAACTGATTAACGCTGTGGTTGTCGTTTCATTTTTCTACGGTGAAAACGAGTAATTATGCGGGAAATATATCATTACTGCTACATAACAGATTATATAGTGCAAAAATATGAACGAAAAAGAATAAATTGTATCAAATATTGAAACAAAATCCTATTCCTCCAAGTGGAAGATGTATAGCTACTTATAATATTTAATTGAAAAAAGAAAGAGAAAAAAATAACTTTACGTCGAATTATTTTGCAGAAATATCTAAATTAATATAACTTAACGCTGGAATTATTCCTATTTGCGTGTATTTTGATATTTAATATTTTGTAGATAGAAATATAGAAAATCACACATTCGTCGATTCATAATATAATTATATAAATTATATTTTAAAATGAATTATATTTTAAACGAAATATAGTATAATTTATAAAGTAAATTATAGTAAAGTTGAATATTTTTTAAATATAAATGGCAGCTAAAAAGATGATCCATTCAGAATTTCTTCCACTTGTTATTCGTCTGGTCTGGTGGATGTCTCAATTCATGTTGTTGCGCAACAAATTCGTGATTTCACCTTCGTGGCCATGTTCTGCTTCGTCGATATGAAGAGCGACCTGGAGACCTCAAATCCCTCTCATCAAAAGAGAATCATCCGCTTCCCGTGCTCTGGCGACTCGTGTGTGAAAAACGTGCACCAGAGCTTCTCCTTCACGGTACCTACGCAATCTCTGACCTATAAAGGGCAACATATATGCGGCTTACAAACCGCACGCCACAAAGTGCTCGACTCCGCAGACACCTTTGATAAGCAATAAATATACGAAGATATTATATGCCTGCATAAAACTATATCATTTTCCTTTGTTATTAGATATATTGTATTAATTAAAATTTTCATCACAATTTTACTTTTACACGTTTCAATATTCGTAATTATAATATTATATTTTTGACTGCGAGATGTTATAACATTGACAGGTCAGTTGAAAACTCAGCTCTCTCGCAACATCCGGATGCGTACGAGATTTCTGCAAGCCAAATTGTTCTCTCGAGAAAAGGTACCCATACAAAACAGCACGTTGCATCATTCGCAGGAAAGGGGAAGTGTCATTAACGTGCCTACGTAAAATCGAATCGAAGAATGTCCATTTTCTTCAACATAATTTCCGTTACCTCGTGAATGACAACGTGCTGCCTGTCGAGGAGGTAAATACAATGACACCATCATAGTCCAGAGAGTGACCCAACGATGAAAAACTCGATGGAAAAGAGTGGGGTCTCCAAGTAAATTGGAGTGGGGCTTAGTCACGAAGTCTCACGCCTTCCACCAGTTCTCAGTCTAAAGACGAACGTACTGGCGGGTAGTGCTTCGCTGCTTCGCTCGAGATCACCCGTGCGTGCGTGTGTGTGAGGGTGTGCGTGTACGCGCGCGCGTGCGCGCGAACGTAACACGGTGGGCGTACAACCCCCAATGACGATGTGTCAACGACGATCTTGATGCCACGTTTGCATCGCTCTTTTTCGAATCATTAGCCCTCCTCGATCGCGAGACGTCGGTCACTCGAAAGCATCGAGTCGATAGTCGAACGAGAGCAGACTCCGCCATTTTCACCGATTCCACGCGAGGTGCCCCGATGAGAGCCACCGGTCCTCGTACAGGTTCGCGCGGCTGACGCCTACGGCCGCGCCTCTGGATTCCACAAACACCAACACACGACACGCGAAGATAGTCGTTAAAATCCTCGCCGCTGGGCATCATTCGGCTATTTTCTTCGCTCATCGTTCCAAAAGTGTTTGCGTCGACCTGATCGAACGAGTGTATACATGTGCCAAGTGTGCATGTATGACAACAGGATACACGTGGAGGTGCGTTGGTGAGAGTCTTGCGACGCCACTGCGCTGCATACCAGTGAGACCCCGGCTCTGGGAGCGAGGAGAGGGATAGAAAAGCCTAGAGCGCGAATTGAAAGGAAGCGACAGAGACGAAGAACGAAGAAGGGGACGTGCAGAAGGTAGAGGGACAAAGGGAAAGAAAGCGAAGGAGAGACGGAAAGATAGAGTCAGACGAGAGAAAAAAGAAAAAGAGAGAGAGAAAGAAAGAAAGAGCAAAACTGGGGTCCGATACTGGTAGGAAGACTCATAAGAAGGCGGCCATAATGGCCTGACGCGATCTCGAGCGAGCGGCTACAGCTGCTGCGAAATATCCGCGCCGCCGAGTTCCTCTCGCCGTTACTGCGCGCAACATATTTTGCAACATCGTGCTGCGAACGCATCGTATATGCGGCCTCTGTCTATCTTTGGAAAGCAGCGGATTACTACGTAATCGGCTGCGAGGAGTGTTACCGGGCGGATTCTCGTGTTGTTCGCTCTGCCGTGAACGTGTCACATGCCTCGCGTACACTCAATAAGTTTCTGAGTCACGTCCGCGACTCGGCAACGCGCGTGAGAAGGAATTCGCCGGTTGGTAATTAACGTTCAGGAAGATCCGTATCTTCGGATGTTGTTGCCACCACTGAGAAGATCGATGCTTATCGTGAGACCAACCCATCATGCATTGAAATCTCCGAAAGGTTTCTCCATTCAAAGCAGTTCTGCTTCATCGAGTATCGGCTTCTGTATAACAACACGACTCTGAGCTATATAAAATAATTCATTTGAAAATTCATTGGAAAAGCTCTTTGTCAGAATTTCTTATGTCAGAGTCAAACCAATTTTTGAACGTATATATGTACGCAATTTCTAAACGAACGAATTATTAACAAAGTAGATTTTAACTGCGATTTTTGTATCGCGAGATTGAACTTTAAATTAAATTTAATCGATATTAATTACGAGCCGAATTAAAAATGAGGGGAGCTAATCAAGATACGGCGACGCCTTATTGTCGATGCAGGGTACTCTATCTAGGAAGCTCGGTACCTCACGCGAGTAAAGAGGGACTCTTGGGCGTCCAGGAACCTTTGAGAGAGCTCTATCCCGAACAGGGTGCACTGGGCGCACGCGGGATCGATTCTTGGCTAAGCGTTTGGAGCAACGGCTTATTGTTGGAGAATGTCGATGAACATCGTAAGAAGATCACGCGATTCTTTCCCATCGAAGCGCTTCACTATTGCGCCGCGGTCAGACATGTCAAAGGTGGAAATAGCGATTCGTCCAATACGCGGTTCCTGCCACTGGACTCGCCATTCGCGCGAACACCCAACGCCAATCATCCGCCCTTGTTCGCCGCCGTGTTGCGAAGAACAACTGGCATCAAGGTTCTCGAATGTCACGCGTTCATCTGCAAACGAGATATGGCGGCCAACGCCCTGGTAAGGTGTTGCTTCCACGCTTACGCCGACAGTAGCTATGCAAAAGGCCTGGAACCGTCGTCAACGACGATCAACGGAATCACCACGGGTCATCAACAATCAAACAACAGTCTATACCATACTCTAGGCGGCTCGAGCACCACTCTAGACAGTCCTCAAGCGACCCGTTTGGATACAACATCGACCGATGATCTCAGCTTGTATAACGGCGACGAGAATCACAAAGTCTGGGCGAGGGGTCGCGATGAAGTCGATGCTCTTTATCAAGAACAAGGCACCCTGCGAAGCACTAAGGGATCCAGACCGCGTCAATTGGTCGCTCCCCCGCCGCCGCCGCCACCGCCACCCCCTCCTGCGCAACCCTTGTTGTTGGAGGAATCTTCTTCCGCGCGACGAAAAGCTAATAAGAAGCTAAAGAAGATGAAGACTCGTTCATTGCACGAGGATGCATTACAGCAGCATCAACAGCAACAGCAATTTCTCCATCATCAGCTTCATCAAGGCGTATATGCAAACGGCCACGGACATCATACTCTGGGTCATCCGATCAGGCAGCAACATTACCATCCTCACCCGCTACCACCCAGTAGTCGATCCGTCGCTGGTACTTTAGCTAGACCGACGCCGGTGCTTTTGGTACCAGCAGCCACATTGCCACGCAAGAATCATCATCATCCGCGTTTGAGGCCAATTCCAGCTGCGGCACCCATAGTACCGATCTACGCACCTTTACCTGTAGTACCACCGACCGCAGCACCGACGGCGGCCATTTATCCAGCAGGCACGTATGGCACTGCCAAAAACAAAGGCAGAAGACATCCGGAAACAGATAACTCGACCCTAAGTACGTCCAAAAGATTAGCTGCCTCTCATGCCGATCTTACCACGGCAGAAATCACTCGGCAGGCGGATAGTCCGGAGAACGAATCTCGTTTTGGTACTGGCATATATCGGCGGAAAGGTCATCTGAATGAGAGAGCCTTTTCTTACAGCATCCGTGCCGAACACCGGAGCAGAAGTCATGGTAGCCTAGCTTCCTTGGGCTTCAGCGCTCAAAATGGCAATGCAGTGCCGAAGGAAGAAAAGAAAGATCGCGAGATCGCCCAGCTGGTCGCCGGATTGAGCCTCAATGAAGGAATGGAACGGACGCAGGCTTCGAATTCGAGGGGAGGATATCCTCTTCATCATCAACAACAGCAGCAGCAACAGATACAACCGCTGCCTAGGCCGAGACCCCGTTAGAATCCTTGCTTGAGATTGACCTGCTTCAATATCAAACCGTTTGAAAATGTCTAGGTGATCCAGAGCAATTTTAAATATATTTCAGAGAACGAAAACTTCATTAAAAAAGCAATTTTTCGTAGCCTTGGCGTTGAACTGACATGTGTATTTATCTTGTTAAATGCCTCTTTTTACCAGATAATTAATCGTCATGAATTTCAGTTGATTATGATCTATTAATTTTCCATCGACATGATCTGCCAACTTTAAATTAAAATATTAAAAACAAAAAAAACATAATGCATTTAAATGTCTAAATAATTGTTAATAATTATAAAAATTTATAATTAATAATTGTCCGTTACAAATTCTTTTTGAGAATTCTCTTTCTTTTCTTACTGATGATGTTGCTGTTGGACAATTGTTCGACAATGAATCTCACTTTTTCCGGTCGATCGCGTTGACGCAAGAGCGATTTTGTCTGGATTAACAAACATCTTCTTGCAGCTTACTTTTCCAAGCGTGACACTAGTATTAGAACGATTTTATGTTTTGTCATTGTGTTATGTGGGAAAAGATTGCAAAAGATTGAAATTCCGATATTTTATAGCAAATTTTATCTAGTGGTGTTATATGATTTTTATTGACAAACATATTTCAAATTATGCTTCTTAATTGATACAATGATTTTGAAGATAAAAAGTGCTTTAAAAAAATTTTTTACTCTGATATTGCTTAACTTCTATATCTCAAATGAATTTGGAAAAAATTTTTTTTACTCTAATTATATTGCTTAATTTCTAGATCTTAAATGTGTTTGAAAAATTTTATTAAACCAGATTAATGTTCAGTGTAAAGAAGAAGAATCGGTGAAACATCTTAAATCACATGATGACATAATATCTCGAGAAACGCAACGACCTTCTTATCGCGCGAACTAACTAATTAAGCCGTAATTATTGTCGTCTTACGAATAAGGTAGTTCTGCTGTCTGAAGCTCATTAGATGAGAGTGTAAAGCATGCAAGAGACTGCTATATAAAATTTTCCTTGTGAAAATAAGTCGAAAGATTTACGAGAAGATTCCAATGTCGTCGGTATTAAATTATTTCCTTGGATACATTCATATCTTGAATATCGCGTTTCAACTATATTTTAAATTTTATTTTGCCATAATATATAATTAATTAAAGTATTTTACTTCTTTCCGAATAATATATGTAATTTCAATTAAATATAATATAATCTAATTGACTGCACGTAATATTTCATATAATTGGAGAAAAAAATATAAAATAAATTGTTGCATAAAAGATCAAAGTCTAGTTAGAGATTCCGATATTTATATTTGCAAGAAAGATATGCAAATCACATATATATCACATATACATTGACTGAGAAAAATATCCTTGGTTATGACATTTTGCGGCCGACACCGTTGAGGTTTTTACATAACGCATTAGCACTAATGTCGTAAGTAAAGATTTAAATGCAAAACAAAAAATCTCGTCGATACTGGCTTTGGAGAGTGAATCTTTAATCTTTAATCTTTCACAGCGCTTAAAAGAATTTTAAAAGTTACTACGCATGAATATATATGAATATGCTTATTAACGTGTGTTGGAGCAATTTATTCTTATTATCGTCGATGAAAGAATTATACGCGACATTTCGAAAAAGTTGAAGTAAATTATTTTGCGAAAACATGTTTTTAAAGACAGGAGATGGCCATGTCGTATTATAAAGAACATTAATTCTGCAGATGATAGTGACACAAATGCGCTCACCGATTAAAAATACTTAATGCGCCGAGATGCTTTCGTGTACACGTCAGAGGATCTTAATCATTTAATAGCTACGCAATAATTAACACTTTCGTAATAATTAACACTTTAATCACCTTATGATGCGATTACATAAATTCTCTCATATTCTAATGTCGTTGATGAATCCTTGAAACTTCGAATATTCGAATTCTGACAATTTCGCGTTTCTAATTTTTTTATTTTAAAATGTCATTTATATAAAAGTAAAGCGCTGCGAAAATCTTAAATATATTACCTTAAATATATCTTAAATAATTCATATGTATATGAATAGTCTGATCAGGAAGAATATAAAAACAATTATCATTATGCAACTAGTACATAGCATTTAAATACTCTCTGCTCGGAAGAGCGTTTCTCCTTCGATCGGTACGTCACCAAGCGCGTCGATTATGAACGATAAAAAAAGGTTTCACCTTTCGCCGCAAATTTCTCCGAGCTATAATGGTAGGCGTTACGCAGAAAAATATCGATAAAGAATTCATAAACGAAAAAATTAATAATTAAAATTAATTTATTCGTATTTAAAATTATATTGGAAATAACTTCAATAATATATTTGCGACATTTCTCTCTCGTAAAAAATAGTCGAAAATAATCTTATGTAAATCACCTTTGCGCTTTCAACAAATTGCATAATTAATTACATAACCAACATATTTTTATCGTTCCTAATTAGCATTTAATCGAAAAAATAATATGCAAAGCGATTCGTGTACAAATTCAAAATAATAGACGACAATGTCGCTTTATAAAAGGTGGCATTGTCGCTATTTAAGACGCGTGTCTTCGAACAAAAAGTTGCAGCGACACGTAGGCATCGTTAACGCGTCATCGATGAGTCGTTCACGGCGGAAGTATTATGCAAATCGGAAAACGGCAGGCAGCATTTCTTTGGAGAATGTTTCTCTCATAGGAATATCGCCGAAGAAAAAGAGCCGCAAGCCATTAAGCCGATTAAGCATCGCTAGATTAAGATTCATACAGTCAATTATCTGACGATCAATTATCTAACTGTAAAAAAGGAAGACCTTTAAAATTCAAATGACAATAGCATGCAAAAAAAATATGAATTCCACGCCACTGATTATTATCGTGCACATCGGTTGCACACAAACGAAGGACGCACACTTTATTAGTCACCTAACTATCGTTACCACGTTGTTTCCACGCCAAGGCTGTTCTACGCGGTTCATAATATAATTCTCTCGGTTCTTTTTTACCGCGCTTTTCCCAGACATCCAAGCGATTTCGCTTGATAAAATAAAAATGTACATTGATTATGGCGAGGACCATTATATTGCTACAACTACTGTAGTTGCTGAAGTAGAAAGTGAGTGTAAAATATGAGCCGACCGCACACATTGTGAATACGCATGCAAGTATAGATACGAGTACAGTGATATAGATCATTTCTATATAAATATATTTATCAAATAAGCTAGGCAAAATTAATTATGTAAGTAAACATGCCATTAAGCTGCACAGAAATATCAGGCAGATATTTTATCTCGATTCTGATCAACGCGTGCAATGATTGCGATAAGAAAATATATAGAGAGAGAGATTCATATTTATAGTTATAAATTTTTTGCCAAATATGAAATATATTCATTTTACTAGGAATTAAATTTGGAAAAAAAAGATCTGATAGGATATAAAGTGTGTTTTACTGAAACTTTTCGACAAGCTCCGTAGTGTATGGATAAATAATAGAATTGTAAAACGAATTTCGACGCCGGGCATCACGCTTGCTCGGACACGAGACGCGTTATTTCACTTACGGTGCATTACATGCACCATGCACGCGAACCTTTCTATCGTTGTCGTCGTCGTTACATCGACTACATTCCGTTCCCCCGTATAATTTTCAGGGTTAACCGCAAACGTCGTATGCAATACTCTAGTTTCAGAATTGCAACAAATAGCCGGTGGAATGCAAATCACCTTGATCGATGATTTAAATGGAGCGCACTCTATCCCGCAGAAAATGCTTTTTAATCATTTTATTATAATATTTTCGAACGAGTCGAAAGTCGGAAAGTCGGATCTAAAAGCTTAGGCAACATTCTCCATGAAAGTCTGCGCTCTGGATATTTTGTATATATGAGAAAAACTACTGAATTATTAGACTGTAACACTTTTTTTAAAAAAAAAAGAAATGTGTCGGTGAAAGAGTTTTAAAATTGATTCGTCACATGAAACAAAATGTTTTATCTTGTCAAAAAAAAAAATAGGAAAGTGAAAGATAATTTCAGATGTTGCGTTAATGACGTAAGAGTAATTATCAGAATTTTTAAAGGAAAGAAAGTACTAAAATGATCCTGGACTAAAAGGCCAAAAGACATCTTAAAGCTGTCCAAAGGATGAGATGTCTTTTAGGAAACAAAGATGTCTTTTATCAATTTTCTTTATAATTAAGAAAATCGATAAGAGAAAAAGATTAACACCTCCAAATAAACTCCCAAACTGGAAATATATCAATAGATTTCAAGTTTGTTTATTCTAGCGTTTCTTCGCCGGAATATAGCCATTGTACTTATACATATAGGATAATAAAACGTCTTGTAAGAGACGATTTATAATTTGTAATTATAATTCATAATTAAAACATATATAAAGAGCGCTATAAATAGTATAAATGCTACCAATATTATTTTAGGTATAATTATAGCGCTAGATAACGTATTTGTAAAGTTCTGTCAATTTATCGCTCCATACTAATTATCATTAACCGTCTTCCATAAAATCGATTCTAAATGCGTTCGTATACCAAATATATATCAAGTCAAACTAACATACCGATGTAATAATGTACTAACCGTGTGCGACAATACTCACCAAAATTTATTTTATATCTATTATTTAGTAAACGAACGCAGAGAGAGTCTTCGAGAACCAGCTTACAATGAAGAGAACACATAAGTATGACAAATAAAAATATATTTTGGCAAAAAAAGTACACAGTCGACAGACTGGAGATAATGAATTTATTCTTTTATTTTCATCTCTTTTTGTCGTGTGTTTCGCATTATTGTCACGTCATTCTTTATTTCACTTCATTGTATGCTTAGGCTTTAAAAATAACGCGCGTGACAAGCCACGTTACCAGTCGATCGCGTAAGAGGACACACGTAGCGGTACACGAGCATGTCCGGGGAATAGTGCATCGTGTTTCTTTCTGCTTCTTATCGCCCTTCCGCCGGTTGTTAGCCGAGTACAACCACCGGAAGAACGATGCAAGTTAAGAGGGACGAAACGCATTTGAAAGAATGCTAATGGCATCCGGATGTCTACTTCACGACCTTGCAGCTTTTCACAGTGAAATGAAAAAT